GGCATGCACCAGGCCATGGCGGGGAAGGGGGTTGGCGATGCCAGGGAGGCTGCAAAGCCACCTGATCCGCCATGGCGAAGCCTCCCTGGCAGGAGGAATCGGTGGGTGCTGTCCTGGGCAAGGACGAGGCCGGCACACGTGGCGTGGGGAACGTGCCGGTGTGGCATGGGGGAGCTGCTCCAGCACATTTAAAGTCAGGGGTGTGTGGCTGCCGGAGGCTGCGGGTGCCGAAAGTTCATCTCGATCCCAGAGGTGCCGGGCTGTGTGTGCAGAACAAAAAGTTGCCCAGGCTGAAAACCGCTGGCTCGGGGATGAGCAAAGGGAGATGAACCGGCCGCTGGGAGGTGGCTGGGGGTCCCCTGGGACCGGTGGTGAAATGGCTCATGTCTGTGCTGGGTCATTCCCTGCCAACATGAACCCCCCCCCGGGCAGGGCATGCACTGGGGGGGTATGTGTCCATGCCCAGTGCTGGGTGCTTCCCAGTGTCCAGGGTACCCGTGGGGGCTTGGGAGGAGCAGTGAGCAGATGGGGGGGTGACAGCTCTACAGAGGGTCCGGTGTCGGTTATGGGATGGGTTTGCTCCAGGCTGACCCCCACACCACTGTGGCCGGTCCCTGATCCCAACCCACAGCCCCACATCCTTGCTGACATCCCTGAGCCCCTCAAGCCCCCCCAGCAGTGATCCCCTCTCTCCCTGCTGTTCGTGGCTCTTTTCAGACAAATCCCCCCCCACTTCATGTGTCCGGGACCACGTCCCTGCCCCTGCTGCGTCTGTGTCTGCTGCCCTTCCCTGCCTTATCATGTTTTTGTACAGAGCCCAGGTACGATAAACTGCTCAAATATTTGCGGAGATGTCCGTGTGCAGCCGAAGTGATGAGCTCCTCTTGTTTGGTTGGAGGGTGGGAGCGGAATCCACCGGCGCTGTGATTTCCCAAGGGAACACGGCTCCTCACACCACCACAGCCCCCCCCCACCCCCAGCGCAGGGCAGGGCAGGAGGCACGGGACCAGATGCTGGGGGCTTGCTGTGGGGCCAAGCACGGCCCGAGAGTGGCCATGGCACTGCATGCCAGGACGGCATGGCGTTTGGGGTGGCACCCCACGGGGCAGGGAGCTCCAGCACCCCAGGTCCCTGCCCCTGCTGCGTCTGTGTCTGCTGCCCTTCCCTGCCTTATCATGTTTTTGTACAGAGCCCAGGTACGATAAACTGCTCAAATATTTGCGGAGATGTCCGTGTGCAGCCGAAGTGATGAGCTCCTCTTGTTTGGTTGGAGGGTGGGAGCGGAATCCACCGGCGCTGTGATTTCCCAAGGGAACACGGCTCCTCACACCACCACAGCCCCCCCCCCACCCCCAGCGCAGGGCAGGGCAGGAGGCACGGGACCAGATGCTGGGGGCTTGCTGTGGGGCCAAGCACTGCCCGA